TTGATGGATGTGCTACTTGATATTTTTTTCAGAAATTGTGATTTTTTTCAGGATTCTTTAATGAAGAAAGAAACAAAAGAACATTTGGTCACACTTTATTTTAAGGTTCAATTCTCACCATTAACTGCAACTTTTGCCTCAGTAAACTCCTAATTTGCTGCTTAATAATAGTTAGTAAGATAGTTAAGTTTAGGTATTGGATTTGGGATGTAGAGTATGGTCATGCAGAATATGTGCTTTATAAGTGCTAATAAACATCCAATAGCTTTTGTTAATAATAGGCATGCTAATAAGCAACAAGTTAATACTGAGAATTTATCCCTATACTAAAGTGTTACCGAATATTTATTTTAAACAACTGTTATTCATTGTCAAAGTCAGATCTCCACTGTAAGTGGAGTTTCCACAAATGACCCTAATGGATTGAAGAGACATTAGTAAACTGCAAGCGGGAAATGATCAGTAAGCATCAGGTATTTGGACGGTGCCCAGCAGAAGGCATGTTAATCAGTAGAACCAACTTGGCAGCAATCAGTGGAGAAGACAGATTTTTTAATTCCAGTATTCCATCCATGGCATTTGAATTTTTAAGAAGGGAAATGATGATGGGAAAGTCACGGTCACTTGGGCAAGGACAATGCACCCAAAGGAATGCCGTCCAAAGTAAACAACTCCTCTTTCATCTTGAGGTCAGATATTTAAAAGTTGGTACGCAAACATACTTTGAATACAGAAAGTCCTTTAATGGGTCAAATATTGATGAACTAAAACATTAAAAGATTAAAAAATATGTCTAAAACAATTGGACCGTTCTAAGTGGAAAAAGCCTATCAGGGTGTGTGACATTCACTGCCTCGACATACTACTGCAGGTTCAGAATTACATTCTCACAATTAAGTATGTAGTGGATTGCATTATATGATAATAATTTAATATATTAGTGTCATGATGGTGATGGTTGTAATAATAATAATAATTATTATTATTACCACCTTAATAGTAGTAATTATTAATATAAGGTGAGTATGAATACTAATAATTGCTAATAATATACATCATTACTGTTGTTATTTTGTTTTTTAGACTTGCATTTGCGTTTGTAATTAGTTATTTTGTTTTCAGAATTGTGATTTGCTTTGCACTTCTCGGCCACTGTAGACCTGCCTCATGACGCAAGTGTCTAGCTCCTGTGAAGTTACCATGTTCAACCACTAGGTGGCAGAGTTTTATTCTTCACTGAGCTCTCTGACATAAGCAATGAAGCCCTTTTGTTATTACAACTATTATGAAACACTACAGAATACCACAACATACAACAAACACAAGTCAATTTGATTCCGTCTTAAAGTCATTCATTATGAATGCACATTCTTAAGCATGGCCTGTTGCTAATAAAACAAATGCACTATAGAACAAAAGCTTAAATAGAGTTCACCAAAACAAATTCTGTCATCCTTGACCCACCCTCTTGTCGTTCCAAACCTGTTTTGGAACACAAATTTTTATATTTTAATTAAACCTATGCTTCTGTCCCTCCATTGAAAGTCAATGCACATGTGTGTGCACATATTTGAGCTTAAATGTTTACCATGTGTTTTCATGTGAATAAATGCCTAATTAAATCTGCTCATATAAAGTGACCTTACCTCTTCACAAGACTTATTAAACTGCAATTATTTGTCAACACCTTTATGACCTGAAGCTTTGATTACCTGGACTTTCAATGAACCATCTCAGGTTTCATTAAAATGTCTTAATTTTGTGTTTCACACAAGTCTTACGAGTTTAGAACAATATGAGAGCGAGTTAATCATGAAAGAATTTTCATTTTTGGGTGAATATCGGTTTAAGGGTTTTCCACATTTTAATACTTGCAATTATAGTAGACCTCAAAATTCCCTCTTTAAGACCCGCATACATGCTGATGAGATGATTGTCCTGCATGTGTCAGATATAAAATTCTTGCTCTTCCACCGCAATGCCTTCTTGACTACAATCATCTACTGTCACAATGCCATTGCTGTTCTGCTGCCCTTTGTCCTGCAACACATCTTTCACATTCTTTGGCTGTGGTTTGTGTACAACACAAGGTGTGGATTTTGCAGAGATGCTCTGTGCTCTAGACGGCAAAGGAGTCTGTCTTATGGAGGAGGCATTATTATAGGTCAGATCAGCAAAGTCAAGACCTCCATCTGTTGGAGGAGCAGACTTGGGCCGCCGTGCTGGGGCCTTTAAATGGGGCCTCAGCTGTGGATGGGAATAACCCGAGACCACCGATAGGTCCACAGAGCTGCCGCTGATGGTCTGTCCCGTGTCCACATCCGTCTCTTCGGCTCCCACTAGCGTATCGACATTGACACGGAAAATTGGAGCAGCCATTGAAGAGAAGCAGCGAGGACGGAAGCTTGATTGAGAGGCACACGAGCAACGGGACTCGTCTGTAGGCAGAGAAAAGAGGGATTGTGTGCGGTGGCCTGTCCATCCGGCCCGTAAGAGCTCCACATCCCTCTGGAGCCTCTCCATGCGGCCTTCCTGATCGCACAGCATGGGCGTCCTGGAGGCGACCGGAGACGGAAGGGTCTGGGTCTGCGAACGCGATGAGTTCCGGTGATAACGGCGATTTCGATAGGAGGCGGGCCCGCGGCCGTATGGTGGAGGAGGTGGAGGGGGCAGCTCGGGTGGAGGAGGGGAAGTAAACGGAGGATCATCAGGAGGAAGGTGACAGAACTTCGCAATAGTGTGCTTGCGGTAATACCGTGAACCTTGAACCTGACAAAGTCAAAATGAGAGCATGAAATTATGTGCAATTAATATGTTCAGGACACCATTTTTGCAGATCCTAGTACCTATTTTTATTTGGTCCCAAATAAAGGTGGCCTTAACTACTATATACTTACATTTAAATTAATCATTCGATGCAATGCACTTATTGTGTACATACATGTTTTTACACTGTACATATATTTAAAAAATACCTGCATGTAATCACATCTGCAATTCATTTCTGTAATTACATTTATAATTATACTGTTGACCCATCCCTTACACCTTAACCCACCTTAAAACCTTCCCATACCATCAAACAAGCAACAAAAGTGTTTTGCAATACAATATGAACACAATAAGTACATTGTACTTATTTTTTGATGTAAATACATAGTAGTTAAGGCCACCTAATATAAAGTGGGACCTTTTATTTAAAGTACTATATTGATAATAAAATCTACACAAACATTACCATTCAGAAGTTTGGAATGTGTACGATTTTTTTAAAAATAATGGTTATTAGGACTGCATTTATTTGATCGAAAATACAGCAAAAACTGTAACAGTAAACCTCAATGTGTGATATTAAGGATATTTTGGTTAGTTTATGTATAATACATATTTGGTTGCCATTTGACAATCTATGTCAATATAAAACCTGATCTTGAAGCAAAACAAGTTAAGAACCAGCTGCTTTAAATCTTGAACTGTTCACATGGCAATATGATGAACAACATATCTGCAGTGAGCTGTCAAAATAAGTTTGACATTAAACAAAAATAGCTTTGGAAAGGGAAACATGTTCCTGCAAATGCCAAACAAAACACAATGTGGGAATGTGGCTTTGATAAGGTAACTGTATACCTGTGTGTGTGTGTGTGTGTGTGTGAGAGAGAGAGAGTGAGAGAGAGGAAAATTTATCTTTAAACATAGCAAGCATTGTTGAGTGTGTGTGCATTAGAGTAACAAAGTTCTACTGTTTTCTGCTTCACACCTCACTGCACATTCCCTCCATCCCTCTACCTCTCCCTCGATCATTTTCCTCTGTTGCTTTATTTGGTTTTCCATCCATCTTTGAGCCTCTTTGTGCCCTTCTTCCTCACTGTTCCACTCACAGATTTCCCACGTTTTCCACATTCATACATTTCTCTCATTACATGCCATTATATTCATTCTGTATTTACTATATCTCCCTCAAAATAGTATATATTTCCCTGTATGGAAATTTCTGACTCATTGAGCACCAAATGTGAGTAAAATTGTCTTTGGTGAGTAAACAAGTGTATAGTTTCGTAAAAATGTTTACAATACCGTTCTAAAGTTTGGAGTTGTTTTTGAAAATAGTCTCATATTTATGTTTTCAACAATACAGTAAAAACAGTACATTTGTGAAATATATAGCTTTTGTTAATAATAGGCATGCTAATAAGCAACAAGTTAATACTGAGAATTTATCCCTATACTAAAGTGTTACCGAATATTTATTTTAAACAACTGTTATTCATTGTCAAAGTCAGATCTCCACTGTAAGTGGAGTTTCCACAAATGACCCTAATGGATTGAAGAGACATTAGTAAACTGCAAGCGGGAAATGATCAGTAAGCATCAGGTATTTGGACGGTGCCCAGCAGAAGGCATGTTAATCAGTAGAACCAACTTGGCAGCAATCAGTGGAGAAGACAGATTTTTTAATTCCAGTATTCCATCCATGGCATTTGAATTTTTAAGAAGGGAAATGATGATGGGAAAGTCACGGTCACTTGGGCAAGGACAATGCACCCAAAGGAATGCCGTCCAAAGTAAACAACTCCTCTTTCATCTTGAGGTCAGATATTTAAAAGTTGGTACGCAAACATACTTTGAATACAGAAAGTCCTTTAATGGGTCAAATATTGATGAACTAAAACATTAAAAGATTAAAAAATATGTCTAAAACAATTGGACCGTTCTAAGTGGAAAAAGCCTATCAGGGTGTGTGACATTCACTGCCTCGACATACTACTGCAGGTTCAGAATTACATTCTCACAATTAAGTATGTAGTGGATTGCATTATATGATAATAATTTAATATATTAGTGTCATGATGGTGATGGTTGTAATAATAATAATAATTATTATTATTACCACCTTAATAGTAGTAATTATTAATATAAGGTGAGTATGAATACTAATAATTGCTAATAATATACATCATTACTGTTGTTATTTTGTTTTTTAGACTTGCATTTGCGTTTGTAATTAGTTATTTTGTTTTCAGAATTGTGATTTGCTTTGCACTTCTCGGCCACTGTAGACCTGCCTCATGACGCAAGTGTCTAGCTCCTGTGAAGTTACCATGTTCAACCACTAGGTGGCAGAGTTTTATTCTTCACTGAGCTCTCTGACATAAGCAATGAAGCCCTTTTGTTATTACAACTATTATGAAACACTACAGAATACCACAACATACAACAAACACAAGTCAATTTGATTCCGTCTTAAAGTCATTCATTATGAATGCACATTCTTAAGCATGGCCTGTTGCTAATAAAACAAATGCACTATAGAACAAAAGCTTAAATAGAGTTCACCAAAACAAATTCTGTCATCCTTGACCCACCCTCTTGTCGTTCCAAACCTGTTTTGGAACACAAATTTTTATATTTTAATTAAACCTATGCTTCTGTCCCTCCATTGAAAGTCAATGCACATGTGTGTGCACATATTTGAGCTTAAATGTTTACCATGTGTTTTCATGTGAATAAATGCCTAATTAAATCTGCTCATATAAAGTGACCTTACCTCTTCACAAGACTTATTAAACTGCAATTATTTGTCAACACCTTTATGACCTGAAGCTTTGATTACCTGGACTTTCAATGAACCATCTCAGGTTTCATTAAAATGTCTTAATTTTGTGTTTCACACAAGTCTTACGAGTTTAGAACAATATGAGAGCGAGTTAATCATGAAAGAATTTTCATTTTTGGGTGAATATCGGTTTAAGGGTTTTCCACATTTTAATACTTGCAATTATAGTAGACCTCAAAATTCCCTCTTTAAGACCCGCATACATGCTGATGAGATGATTGTCCTGCATGTGTCAGATATAAAATTCTTGCTCTTCCACCGCAATGCCTTCTTGACTACAATCATCTACTGTCACAATGCCATTGCTGTTCTGCTGCCCTTTGTCCTGCAACACATCTTTCACATTCTTTGGCTGTGGTTTGTGTACAACACAAGGTGTGGATTTTGCAGAGATGCTCTGTGCTCTAGACGGCAAAGGAGTCTGTCTTATGGAGGAGGCATTATTATAGGTCAGATCAGCAAAGTCAAGACCTCCATCTGTTGGAGGAGCAGACTTGGGCCGCAGTGCTGGGGCCTTTAAATGGGGCCTCAGCTGTGGATGGGAATAACCCGAGACCACCGATAGGTCCACAGAGCTGCCGCTGATGGTCTGTCCCGTGTCCACATCCGTCTCTTCGGCTCCCACTAGCGTATCGACATTGACACGGAAAATTGGAGCAGCCATTGAAGAGAAGCAGCGAGGACGGAAGCTTGATTGAGAGGCACACGAGCAACGGGACTCGTCTGTAGGCAGAGAAAAGAGGGATTGTGTGCGGTGGCCTGTCCATCCGGCCCGTAAGAGCTCCACATCCCTCTGGAGCCTCTCCATGCGGCCTTCCTGATCGCACAGCATGGGCGTCCTGGAGGCGACCGGAGACGGAAGGGTCTGGGTCTGCGAACGCGATGAGTTCCGGTGATAACGGCGATTTCGATAGGAGGCGGGCCCGCGGCCGTATGGAGGAGGAGGTGGAGGGGGCAGCTCGGGTGGAGGAGGGGAAGTAAACGGAGGATCATCAGGAGGAAGGTGACAGAACTTCGCAATAGTGTGCTTGCGGTAATACCGTGAACCTTGAACCTGACAAAGTCAAAATGAGAGCATGAAATTATGTGCAATTAATATGTTCAGGACACCATTTTTGCAGATCCTAGTACCTATTTTTATTTGGTCCCAAATAAAGGTGGCCTTAACTACTATATACTTACATTTAAATTAATCATTCGATGCAATGCACTTATTGTGTACATACATGTTTTTACACTGTACATATATTTAAAAAATACCTGCATGTAATCACATCTGCAATTCATTTCTGTAATTACATTTATAATTATACTGTTGACCCATCCCTTACACCTTAACCCACCTTAAAACCTTCCCATACCATCAAACAAGCAACAAAAGTGTTTTGCAATACAATATGAACACAATAAGTACATTGTACTTATTTTTTGATG